CCGTCAGAGGAGGGCGATTTAAGAGAGTTTTGCGTCTGGAACAGTGTCGATGGGATATTACGGCACACACTGAGAGGCCACGAAACGAACATCAATGATCTGGCTCTTTGCGGGGATATGGCAGCTAGCGCTGCCGAGAATTTAAAACTATGGGATGTCAACAAAGGGGAGTGTCTTCAAAGCTTTCCGGGCCCCAAATCTGGCCTTGGGTTTTCTCAGTGCAAACTCGATAACAAGCGTTTGGTGGGAGCTTACATTAACGACGAAAAGTATAAACTGAGCGTTTGGGATCTTGAATCGGAACGTCACAAAAGTATCACTGCTTGCAGTGCACATGAGTTTTCGGAAGGGTTTCGGATGCAGTTAAATGAGTTCTGCGTTGTTCTCTCACACCCAAGTTGGTCAAAGGTCTGGAACGACAGAGGCAGATGCGTTTTCGATGAAACGGATGAGATTCATTTAGCTGGGACAAGGATTTTGCGACGTGTTGGGTCAAGCATCGAAGTCTGGAGCCTGGGGCCCGATTCAAGGCATTGGCGCCGTCTGTCTACGCTCCCTGAATTCGACAATCTTCATGCAATTTGGGCCAATGACACCAAGCTTAGCATCATCAGCTGGTCCAATGAAGGAGGCCACAGGCCACCTTTTAGCGTGCCGCTCGGGCAAAATCCGGATATTAATGTCTCCTGCGATTTTTTGCTAGACAGCGGCCTAAGCGTCCTCCATTTTTGGTAAAGACATGCTCCGTTTAATTTTCCTTTTGATCTTGTTTTTTTACCTTTTATTTAATGTTGCGAAAGAGGTAAAGATCAGTCTTATCTTAGCGACAATACAGTCTATCTTGCTTTATAGCTGTACGAGCAAAGACCACTCAGTTGATACTTGTACATGCATGCTTCAAACTGCGCTCAACATCAGCTGGTGAGAAAGTGTACTGCCCATTAAGGAGATATTCCTCAGGTTGGAGACTAGGTGGCTTATCGGAGGATGCGTTTGGTCCGATACTGTCTACTGTCATCAATCGAACTGCAGCCTGCAAGCATCTTTTGCCCTGGTAGCCCTGCTTAGCCCCGCGGAGCGAGGGTGGTAGAAAACCACCTTTGTGCAGGGTGATTCAAAACGAAAGTGACCGACTTTGAAAATTGTTTTAAATATTTAGCTCTCTCCATTTTATTAAAAAAATGCCAAGGGATAAGGTGCATCTTGTTGACTTTAAAATTTCCCACGGAATGTCCAAACTCCAGGTTATGTTTATAGTGATAAAAAGATCACAACTTTCGGCTTCCACAACTGATCATTTACCGTTCTATGAACTGATGAATACCCATTGAGTACAATGAAACATGGACGCTTTACCACCTCCTTGAATGAACGAGAACTTGCAAAGGAAAACATATAAAAAAAATCGCCATCAATATTCCGAGGGGGGGGGGAGAGTTGGCTCGTTCCTTGTACTCAAAACACAAAGTCTGACGGTAAAAGTAAGGTTTCAGTCTTGATTTCAATTATGAAAATCTCATTTTTGTGTTTGAATGCTTGTGTGTAAGCGGTAATTCTCACTAAGCTCAATAGTTTCAAGTTGCATTCAATGGGCAGAGATAAATGCACATTCGGTTCCTTGACACAGCAGAACAGGAAGAAACTCAACCGGGTAAGCAAAAGTGCTAAGCGTGTCATAGGTTTAGCCTTGCCCTGCTTGGATACACGTTTTGAAACACAAGCTGCTTTAAATTAAGCATAATATTGAAGGCCCAGACTCATTCATTTTTTAATTGCTTTGTTTTTAATCGTTCAGGCATAAACTCACTCCGTTTTCGACAATCGTTTATCCCAAATTCCAGCCATCTCTTCAATCACTTAACCAAGCGATAAAATGGCCAATATTATAACGTAATAAATATGAATATTTTAATCACATGTGCATGTACTGGTTATTATATAATAAGTGTATAATAAAATACATTTGTAAGTACTGGTGGTAAATTGTAAGTTTAAATTGAAAACAGTTTCATTTCGTCTTATTTTTCTTTTTTTATAGTTGGATGTATGTTGTATTTTGATTTATGTAACAGGGTTTTGATGTAATATTAGTGTTTTAATATAATTGTGTTGCCAATGGAATATGATTATCCGTATCTGTAACTTAGTACGAGAAAAATCTTGTGAAAATTATGACAATTATTCCGTGATGTGGATTACGGTAATTATATCAAACAATTAGAATTTAATCTGGTGCCGCTTTTACTTTAACTGCACATTGTGTAGGCAATAAGTCAAGTCGCCATCCCGAACAACGACAGGGGATAATTCATTTCTACAATTACTCTTCAAACTCTGTAGTCAAACCTGTTTCAAAATGTGTAAGATTTCTATTATTAAGGATAACGTTTGACATTATTTAACTTGGTAACGGAAGTTTAATTCGAGAAAATTCTTCTACATATTGACGATTACTCGCAATATTCCAAATCAGTATTTTGGAATATTGCAATTATCAATAAATTACGTGTCTTTGAATACCTTATCTTAAAGGTAATATGCACAACATTTGCAAACATTAAAACACTAAAATATCAAACTATTATGAAATACCTCACTTGACTGTAAGTGAATAATAGTCTCAAGTATATTGTAAAATTATGGCACCTGGTAGGCTGTCATTTTCAAGAAAAATTGATTTTTTTTTTAAAATCAATTTCCAACGATGGTCGGCTGACCTAATTTTTAAAGGTTGTGCACAGAATAGCAAAGGACATAAGCGTCACTGAAGCATAGCCCTAACAGTCCTGAATCCTCCAATTTCAATACGATTTTGCACTACCCCGTGGGGAGTTAGGGTTAAAATGAAGGGAAAAAAAGAACCTTCAGGGAAAAGGTTTAACAATTGCCCTTATTGAAAATTGAATGAAAAAGTGCAAACAACTCCTGGCTAGCATAAACAACTTTGCCACCATTGTCATGCTGGCCGGGGTGAATTGCTTTTGGGTCAAGCATCCATGATCGGGCGTAAGTATACTCTACTGGCGTCAGACTGTATTGCGCAAGTTGCTAGTTCAGAACACACGTTCAATCAAAAACAAAAAATACTCGTTCGATTTTCAAAATACATTTCTTTGTTCAAAATATTATGTGATTCAATCGCTTGATTTTAAGTCTGCTTCGTGGCCTAGAACGGTCCGTCTGCTAGAAGATACAGACGAACTGAAACACCTTGCGGCACTAAAGTTGGGGCATGAGTTATCGGCGAAGAAGTATGACCGGCTCTGAATCACGGTGAGGGGGTTCGGGGCTCATTTAATGGCCCCGAAATTTTTTTGGATTACAGATTTTCTGTGGTGAGATCTGAGGCAATTTCTGACCACTTAAACCAATTTGGTGGTGATGGTGGTGTACGCCGCAGTGCCTGCCTTTATTGCGACGTCACTTAAAAAAAAGGTTCTTTTTGGGAGGGGGGCATGGTCCCTGTTACCCCCCCCCCCCCCAGATCCGCCCTTTGAATTACCAAGTGGATCAAACCGTCGTATTGGATTAAAATTTATTGAGAGTTCTGAGCGTTATGGGGACGTGTGTGTACGTACAATTGTTGGTTTCTGTTGACAAATTACCATCTGTTGTTGATATGTTGCTGTTGTTTGAAATGGCCGTTTTCATCTAGCTCCAAAACACGAGGCCTTTGGAATGTTACAAAAGAATACACAAGACGTGCATGGGTGGAATAAATGCCAAGTCTGTTCCGGGCATTTCCATATCTGTATTCGACCCATTTATCAAACCGTGACACAATTGTCATTATTGCATATATGACCCGTCACGTGTTTTTCCTCGGCGTCACGCGTCAGTACGTTTTATAGGGTCAGCTAGGTCTACTTGTGCGCCTCTGAATATTGCGTGCCGGGTATTGATCGTCAGCACGCGCTACCGGTTTACATGCATGGTAAGTACGGTGTGGAATAACTCTGCTGGTTTGGGGCGAGACCATACGTGTCTGATAGTGATACTGACGTACACTATGTATCCTACACCTGAGGCGCTACCGTAGTATTGGCACCGTGTCTCTGTAGACAAGAGTATTTGACAGGTGTATTTATTGTGGCTTTGATGTCGTGCATGAAACATTGCTGGGTGTATCACTTACATATCCATAATTTTCCAGCATAAGTATACTTTCCATTTGGCCAAAAAAGGCTTCTTTACCACTGAAATACGCCTGCGCACATCAGAATATTTATTTTTTCAAACCCAGAACTTATACTTCCAGTTTCCACGAGTGTATAAGTTTGGATTCGCCTTGAACTGTACAACATGGTAGGAGTATAATATAGGCAGCAGCATGCGCGACTGAGCTGTGTGCATGCGTGGAAACGCTCATTATGAAAATTGCCCCAGATCAATGCAGCACTGCATATAATTATTAAGTTAAAAACCTAGTATGATGAAGAAGGGCGGAGTTATGAGCCCAGCAGCGTATTAACTTGTGGTAGGAGATAACTTGGTTTAACTACAAAGTTCTATATATAGGCCAAGGGTTAATAATTTCTTGTTTTGTTTTAGACATAATCATCTTGTGCTACGTACATAACACTCTGTGAACTGAACATGGGGCGTCACTAGGGGTTGGGGTGTGACACCCCCCCCCCCACACACACACACATTCTTTCGTTCATTGCTAAATCGTTGTGACCAGTCTGCATATAATCTGTCTTTCAGCACCACGAATAGCGCCACCTATATTTTCAGATACTGTCGAGTTCCGTTTTTGTCAATTAAACAGCACCCGAATCAGTAATCCATCCAGCCAACATTCTAGCAAGGAAAATTATGTAGAGAATTTCTCCTCCCCCCCCCCCCCCCCCACATACTCTGGTGATGATTCTAGCCACTTTTCGTGTTCAAGTCAGTCCCTTTCTAAAATTAAATTCGTACCGGTATTCACTCAGGTATGCATAAAAATTACGCGTGGGACGGAACGTATGCGGTTCTCGGGTATAGCAGCATATATTATGTTTTTAGTATGCGCGTGCTGCCTGACGATCACGCATTGAGGAAGCTTTGTACTGTGAGAATGTTCAACATTAATAGTATTATTTGATCACAATTTACAGTCAGAATCAGTTGGTCTGGGAACCAGACTACAGCATTAATTGAGAGACTAGCTGCAGACAGATCAGCGCAGTGCGGGCATTGCGAGTATATAGTACGGTTTTTCTGCTGAGAGATACGCACGAAGTGAAACACCTTGCAGCAGTAATTATCGGTGAACTATGGGCGACTCTGAATTACCAGGTAGGTCAAACGAATTCAATAGGTTGAAAACATCAGTGTGAACGTGTAGATGGAGTGTGTGAACGGGTGGAGCGGGTCTACGTGTATAAGAGCATTTTTTCTACAACCAGTAACTGAACATTTCGTGTTTTTGATCACTGTGTGCATTGTATTTTGTTTGTTGAGGTCGAATAAATTAGAACAATATTAAAGGGCATTACGGCATGAAACGAAACGAAAATGTTATGTTTTTGGATTGTTTACTTATACTATTTTAAAAGTGTAGTTGAAAGGAAATTAACCTACTGTCTTACCGTTCCCGAGAAAAGACCAACAGAAAATCCAGTTGTTTATATCGAACACGTACGACGGAGTACGCAAACGTATTTCCTGTCGATTTCATTCAATGTACGATACACGTTGTTTGTGAGTTTTTTCTGCATCCAATAGGGGACGTTGAACAATAGAGGACAATAGGGTCCCCAATTCTCGAAGGTCCCCAATTTACGATCATATACAAAACATAGGTCTTCCTAAAAAGTTAAGCCGGGTACAAACAAAAGAGGGTCCCCGATTGCAGGCAAATACAGATACAATTACGTGCGTGTCACATAAATTACACACAGCACTTATGCACATACGAAAGCCCGTTAGTGCCATCGAATGTATAAATTGCTCTTTTGCAAGTATATGTTTGGTGAATCTTGTTTTTCGGATGTATATGTTTGGTGAATCTTGTTTTTCGGATGTATATGTTTAGCAAATCTTGTTTTTTGGATGTATATGTTTAGCAAGTCTTGTTTTTTGGATGTATATGTTTGGCGAATCTTGTTTTTTGCAAGTATATGTTTCCCGAGTCTTGTTTTTTGCAAGTATATGTTTCCCGAGTCTTGTTTTTTGCAAGTATAAATTTGGCAAATCTTGTTTTTTGCGAGTATGTTTCGCGAGTCTTGTTTTTGTGAAGTCTATTTTTAGTAACAGTCTTGTTTTTTGGAAGTATATGTTTCCCGAGTCTTGTTTTTTGCAAGTATGTTTCGCGAGTCTTGTTTTTGTGCAGTCTATTTTTAGTAACAGTCTTGTTTTTTGCAAGTATATATTTCCCGAGTCTTGTTTTTTGCAAGTATATGTTTCCCGAGTCTTGTCTTTTGCAAGACACGGGAAATATATACTTGCAAAAAACAAGACTCGGGAAATATATACTTGCAAAAAACAAGACTGTTACTAAAAATAGAAAACAAGACTCGCGAAACATACTTGCAAAAAACAAGACTCGGGAAACATATACTTCCAAAAAACAAGACTGTTACTAAAAATAGACTTCACAAAAACAAGACTTGGGAAACATATACTTGCAAAAAACAAGACTCGGGAAACATATACTTGCAAAAAACGAGATTCGCCAAACATATACATCCAAAAAACAAGACTTGCTAAACATATACATCCAAAAAACAAGATTTGCTAAACATATACATCCGAAAAACAAGATTCCACAAACATATACATCCGAAAAACAAGATTCACCAAACATATACTTGCAAAAGAGCAATTTATACATTCGATGGCACTAACGGGCTTTCGTATACACACGCCCAGTTTTTAAAGGATGGTTGTGGCCGGGGAACATTTAAAATGCTTCTTTCCAATTAATATTGTTCTGTTTAAAACGCGTTTTGCAGCCCAATTGGACGTATTCCAGGCTGTAATGTGGTGATCTACCCTACTATAATTCTAGGCTGGGGTCCGTCCTTAATTAAACACGGATGAACGCTGGATACCAATCAATCACTTCTCGATCACTACGGTTTATTACCAATCGGATGCTTAGTCATATCCTGACATTAGCGTACAGCATTCTCCTACATGTGTCCGAATTTCTCATTGATCGCCCACTCGAGCTCTCCGCAAAATTATTTCTCATTGAGGGAAAGTCCCTCCGCACGCAATCGCGGTGCCATAGAGATAAACGATTAACACACCATGCACAATGGCGGTGTCCTATTATATCGGGACTCCCACAGTAATATCCCTTTATAAAACGTTAGAGCGAGCTTTGTTTGGCTACCGCACGGTTGAATACCGTATTACGATTAACCGGTTAAGGTATTATCGATCTTTGGCATGCTTTTCTGTTTGATTTTACAATTGAATTATCCATCCTCATTTCTTTTTTCTTTTTGTGGACAGCTGAAATTAAGAAACTCATAGAGCAAAGCCAAGAGGCCAAGACGCATGCGTACTGTCCCCACAGCAAGTTCCATGTAGGCGCTTCCCTGCTCACCAAAGACGGCAAGGTGTTCAATGGTAAGACGCCCTCAACGACTCACAGTTGGCCAGGGTAAAACCAAAGTGCTCATAAAAGGGTCAAAATGTGATCATGACAGATTCGTGTTATTTTACAATATTTAGGTCGCCAATACCATGTGTGACCCCTTTATAAAGGAATTTAGCTCTACGACTCGTCGTAGTAAAAGCTATTTAAATATAAAGACCCTCAAATACAGAGAAAAAAGCGATGAAAGATGTATTTCACAATGCAAAAAACAGGTATAGTTAGCGTGCTCGAATTTCACTACAGGCTAATTCAGAGTCCATATTTCATGGACAGCATATACATAAGTTGTCAATATTTTTCTAAATTTTTTTAATAAGAAACGGAAAATGTATCAACGCTTACTTTTGATGGCAAAAATGACACCATGTCGTTGGGGGAAAACAAGTAAATCTTTTGAAGAAAAACAAAAAAACAATATCCTTGGGAATGTATTGAGTAGTGACAACTATTTTCAAGTGCATTAATATGAAGTTATGAGTCAACAGTAATGCTGTTTTATTGTCTTGAATTCCGTTGTAATATATCAGTATAGCACCGATTCTCCGAGTTGTCACCTCTTTAAGTCAGGCGCGAATTCAACCTTTTGTTCCAGTCGTCTGCCCCTGTAGTGTGACACTCCGCTGGAAATACCCCTTGGGATTTTCAACACTGATAGTTCATTAATTTTCCCAATGAAATTATAATCATTTTACCCTCCAATGCAGGTTGCAACGTGGATAATGTTTCACACTCAATGTCGATTTGTGCGGAAAGATGTGCCTTCTTCAAAGCTATATCTGAGGGTCACAGAGACTTCAAAGCTATCGCTGTGGCGAGGCAAGTAAAAAAAAAACCACACACGGTGGTTCAAGAAATCGGTAAAAAATGACGCCCACAACATTTTCCCGAAGAGTAAAAAAACTAAATCTCAAAAGCTTTGGGTCTTACTCTTTGTTTCCTAAAAAAACAACCACGCAGCCACTCAATCAGGCAAGCTCAGTGTACCACGCTCCTTGACTTTCAAACAACGGATACGTTGTGTCAAGGGCGGATCCAGAATACAATATTAGGGGGGCCAAAAAAATGTTGGTCCCCCCAAAAAGTGAGACCAGAACTTACGGCGTGGGGTTCGGGGAAAAGTTTTTGGATTCTAGATGCTCTGTGGTGTGATCTGAGGCAATTTCTGACGTGACCACTTTAACCAGTTTGTATGAGGACAAGATGGTGATGGACGCAGTGGCTGCCTTTATAGCGACGTCACTTTTTTTGGGGGGGGGGGAGGATGGCCCCCGTTGCACCCCCCGGATCCGCCCTTGTGTTGTGTCCATGCATATATATACTCTCCATTGAAAAATTATCAATGCTTCTGTTATGGGTCGAAGGGTCACGTGGTCACTTTTCTGCTTGTCAACCCCCAGTCATTATAAGGACGCACTTCCAAAAAAGAGGCCTGACAATTTATTTGCACCGTTTTTTTATCTAGTGATATGGCAGACAAGTTCATTTCACCGTGTGGCGCTTGCCGACAAGTCATGTATGAAGTAAGTGTTGCTTTCCCTGTTTTTACTTTCGTTGAAAAACTCAAACGAAATCTAAACGCCCAGCATATATGGCACCATTATTCAGATTTCTGATGTTGAAAACAATTTGTTTCCCGGATTGATTTTGCCAAGACAAAAATACTTGGGTTACACCTCACCTCAGCGTGACCATCTCGTACCAGACCTAGGATGGATGCATACTTTGACTTCCTTTGTGTTTATATTTTAGGAAGCCAAAAGAAAATCCCCGGGTGTACCTGACTAAAGGTCTTTGCTTTGACTTCTTTTGTTGCAGTTGGGTGGGAAAGACTTGGAGGTGTACCTGACTAAACCCGACCTGTCCTGGAAGCGTACGACCATGGAGGAACTCATGCCACTTCCCTTCGACGAGTTTAAGGTTGCATCGAAATAAGACGCTACGTATACGTTCCTATGACAACCAAATGTTTGACTTGTGTTGTGTTTCTAGATAAAAAAAAACCCAACAAATTCTCATTGTGAACGCGCTGTTATCTTTATTGGCTTATTTAACTTTGCTCTGAAGATGTGTCTATTAAAGTTCTCTGTGCACCATTACTTGTGATATGGCTGCGTTCGATTAGCTAACATGTGTTAGTAAAACGTACATGAGAGCTTTGCTCGTACCCCCTGCCCTGCAAGGGCGGATCCAGAACACAATTTTTTTTGGGGGGGCCAAAAAAATTTGGTCCCCCCCAAAAAAGTGGGTCTAAAAAATTACGGCGTGAGGGCCCCGAAAATTTTTTGGATTTTAGATGCTCTGTGGTGCGATCTGAGGCAATTTCTGACCACTTTAACCAATTTTTTTTGAGGAAAAGATGGTGGTGTACTCATTGCCTGCCTTTATTGCGATGTCACATTAAAACAAAAAAAAATTGGTTTCGTTTTGGGGGGGGGGCCATGGCCCCCTTTGGCCCCCCCCCCCTGGATCCGCCCTTGCCGCCCTGCAAATAGGACGCTGGGATACTCTGATGAGCTTCACAAAATCTTGTGAAGGAAGTGGCCTATGACCTATGTATAAAGCATCTGGCTGCAGCTATTCAAGACCGCAGTTAGACAATGTGCGCAAATGCTATCCGAAAACTTTCCATAGAATTGCGCTCATTCCATATCGGATGTGATTTCTGTTTCATTGCGGACCATGTGGACAAAATTTTGAGCGTCGCATAATGCAATCCGACCGTTCGTGATTCGAAACGGAGCCTGAGCCGAGGAACGGGAATTGTAAATTTGCAACACAGATAAGTTTAACAGAATTTCCTACATAATTATGCTTTTCAACGAGAAAAAAACCATCTCTAAACTGGAATAAAAGAGTAATGAATCAGTCTTAACGGCCGTTTCAAACCTTGCAAGAGTCATGACCTTGATGACGCGCAGGTCACTGGTCACGCAAAATCCAACCAATCAGAGCGAGAATTCATCAGAGTATCCCAGCGTCCTGTTTGCAGGGCGGGGGGTACGAGCGAACATGAGAGCGTCCGATTAGCCATCACGTGATATACTTCTGTCTCCCCTAGTGTCAACCACCACTGCCCCAGCTCACGAGTGGATATCTGCATGGTGGCTGCCCGGGTGAAATGACAATAACCGGACAATTCGTGGCTAGCTAGATTGAAGATAGCGGGAACATGAATACGAAATGAATACAATAGAGAGATTTATGACACAAATATTTCCGATTATTAACACTGTTGAATTGGATGAAAACATTTTGATAATTCAAATCATATATCTTCCGATTCCAGCAATTATTGATCTGGTAAGAATAATTAAACTAAATTTACCAGCGAAGCAAACTACAGTTTGCCTGGTGAGGTTACATTTTAGACTGGAGTCCCGCCCCGCAACAACCTCGGACCTTAATTTTGCCAGAATGCCCAGGCGAATACACTGCAGCATTCGGCTCGCCTCATTTCGTTGCTTCCTTTAGAGTGTAAACGGCCGTGTTTGCACGGGGAAGCTTATCGAACACATCCACTGTCAGCTCGGCTTTGCGTAGCGCGTAGCGGTTCACTCTAAAAAATATTGCATTTATCCCCCCCCCCCTAAAAAAAAGTAACCCACCGAATTATTATTAAAAAGCGTACTTATTAATAAGAGCGTACTGGTACTAAACACCCCGCAGGTGATGCAATTTCTTACCGTGTCAGTCGATTGACTGATTTTGGTGCTATATGGACGAAATTGTGTTTTAGGCCAAAACAAAAAATATTCGGTCTCTGGTCAGACCAAAGTTCCGGAATTGACGCGGCCACGCGGCTTTTTTTTTTTTTTTTTTGCTTTCTTTTTTTCTTCAAGCTTGGATTGTACAGACAAGGTGGGGTAGGCCTACTATTTTGCTTTTTTGGTGTCCTCATGTACATTGGTGTCCTCCATAATTTGCCTTGGTGCTTTCGATCATTTGCCTTGGTGCAATTTCTCATTCCTTGGTGCTCTTTGATAAAAAAAAATTGAGGAGGTGCGGAAATAGAGGGTGCTGTTGGAGCTACCGCGGAACATTTTGGAAAAAAAAAAGATCGACGCGCATGATTAAAATCGACGCGCGCGCTGACCGGAGACCGACTTATTTTTTTTTTTGGCCTTATGCTTGGTTTTTCACTGTTTTCTCAAAAAGTGCAATTTTCACAGAGCTGAAACTTCTAAAGGTTAGAGTTTTAACATTTTTTCTTGGGTTCTGAGTGGTGTTATTAAAACGATTAAAATACATAAAAAGCTTAATGATCCTATATGCCTTTGCCTTTTAGTCACCGTGCATAATAAAACAGAGAAAGAAAATGTGCTTCTCGTTAGAGACTCCAATTGAGATTCTGTGTCACTTTAAACTATACTTTTGAGCAATTTTGCGACATTATCACACAATCTTTAATTTCCTTAGGATTTGTAATTAAGCCATCAATTGCTGCAGATAACCCTGATCTAAACTAATTAGTAATTAAACACAATTGAAAACATGATTAACAAAAAGATGAAACGAAGATTAAACTTAGCAGACATTATGACCATGCCCTTCACAACACGTGAATCGAATAGAGGCGTCACTGCATGGAAGGAGTGGATACGTGGGAGCAGCACATCCCTCCCCCATTCTTTCCGTTTGTTGTCAAGCTCGTTTACCTGTCGGCAAAATATTATAGTCTTTCAGCCAACACCATCAAGAATAGCGCCACCTATTTGCAGATATGTCCAGTCCCGCCTACTTTCAAACAGCGCCCAATTGGTATGGTACCCAACTTATACCCACCCCCACCCCCATATCTTGCAACCATCCAGCACCCTAATAAGTCAGCAGTTGTTTTGAAATGTTAAAATTGAACCGTTGCTCTTAATAGGGTTAAAGGTTGCCAGTACACGTATAATAGTCGACCACGGTGTCAAGTTGATAGTTTGCCAATACGTCCACACATCTGGTACATGGATCAATGCGGCACGGCAGGCAACCTGCAATGGTTTCGAGCACAACCGACTAGTAACCGACACAATCCTTGTCGTTGTTTGCTTGGTGAAAGTGTCAACATTACCGTGACAGTTTGAGAATGTAAAACAACAAATATTGAGAGTCCCAAAAAGTGCGGCACAGTATTGCGATCATTGTAATTTGTATTCAACAGCAAGTACGCAACCTACGTTGCTTAGATAAACGGACGATATCTGACTCAACTTGCACAGCTAGAAGTTGGGTCACGAGTTATCGGTGAACTATGGGCGACTCTGAATTACCAGGTAGGTCAAACGAATTCGATTAAAATAGATTGAGATAGTCGTTGGAACGTGGGCGTGTGTGTATGTTTTGAATAGGCTCAGTCGGGCCAAATCACGGTTGTATGTGATTGTAAACCTATACGTAGAGTCATGTATAGGCCCTATTGATTTTTGACATGCTTTTCTGTTTGAACCATTGGAACTGAGCATTATTGATTTTCATTTGTTTTGCTATGTGTATAATGTTTTCTTCTATATATGCACAGCTGCTATCAAGAAACTCATAGAACAAAGCCAAGACGCCAAGACACATTCATACTGTCCCCAGAGTAAGTTCCGGGTAGGCGCGTCGCTCCTCACCAATGGCGGCAAGGTGTTCAATGGTAAGACGCTCCTTTAATTAGGGTAGATCATAAGTCTTAAGGTGTCATACGTTCTAAGCGGGGTACGGTAGTTCACGAAAGAAGGTACAACCTTAGACTGGTTCCCAGTCCCTTCATCAACAATTCTGATCTATAGTAAGAAAGTGTTAGGAATTGTGTTTTTACTCGCCAAAGACATTTTTTGTAGGCCAGTCAAATATCCACACAGAGGCAATTAGACGACTTTTGTCCCATTACCTAAAATTGAATTACTCATAACTCTGTCAAAAATTATCAGATTTGGACGTTTGATGTGTCATTTCAAAGACGAAAGGTGTATCTACTAAACCACACCTATATTATCTATGTTGGTTACACATTCTACGTCTGGCTTTCAGTTATATTTTGTTGCATTTTTTGATATTGTATTTTAATGGGAGCGGAGACCAGTATAGGTGCACTGCAGTCTTTGTAACCCCCCCCATCAGCACGCATGTCAAATTATTGTCCCGATAGAGAGCGCTCTGTTCCCACCCGCGCCGCAGACATGTCTCGGGCAACGAAGGTTGCACACAAGCAAATAATTTTCCTAGAGATCAGTGACATTCCTCAAATTTTTTTTTTTTAATACTCAAAACTCTCACAGGTATTGAGCCTACGCAGAAAAATGATGATCAACTTAATTGTCGTCTTTCATTTTGGGTTCAAATTTAATTTGAGATATTCTCACCCAAAAGAGCCCACTCCTAAAACGAAATATATTTCTCAAACTGAAAAAAGTAGTATATTTTCTTTGCTAAATATGTGTACCTCCAAAAATATATATGGTATTCACCAGCAGTTTCGTATGTAGCGATGTAGCTTGCAAGCCTTAAGAAATAGACTGGGGACAATTTGGAGAGGAGACATTGAAGAAATTACTGTTGTAGAGGTCCTAGGAAAACCCCTGACGTATATATGTTATTGGAAAACCCATTGGATCAGGTAGGGACAGCTGAAAACCTGATCAAGATGTGCAACAGGGCAGGAATCGAACCCTGGCCATCGAGGTGGCTGAGCCAATAAACCTGCCTTCCCTTGATTATTCGCGCTAGTTGTTCATTCTTTTTTCCCCATAAAATTTGAAAGAGGCGACTATTTGTTTTCTATCCAGGTTGCAACGTTGAGAGCGTTGCGCACTCGCTAGCCATGTGTGCCGAGAGATGCGCATTCTACAAGGCCATGTCGGAAGGCCACAGGGAATTCAAAGCCATCGCCGTGGCCAGGCAAGTCACACATTTTTCTCTCGGAGATTTCTCTCAGAAACCAAGCAGGGTCGATGCCGAGAACTTGTTCACAATGAGTTCTTCAAACTGTTCATCAGATGAAATTTGCGTTGGACAGATTGGGGAAGTATTACAGGAAATTGTGTCTTTCATGATACAAGTATGGCATTTGGCTCACAGTTTGAGTATGTCATGAGAAAGTTACTTGGCTACAAAGGGCCATCGCAGATTTGTCTATTGAAAAATATTCAAAGGTAGAAAAATGGCGCCCATTGCTTGTCATTCTACCTGTATTTTTTCCAAAGGAAGTATCTGCGATGTCCCTAAAGCCAAATATCTTTCTCAATTACTCTGACTCTGTGCCAAATCCCGTGCTTGCATCTCCAAAGGCACAATCCCATCAATAATTTGCAGTACTACTGAGGTGGTCGCAAAATGCCAGACCCCTGCTTGTGGTATCGTCCTTGAAAAATGGGTTTCAACCGGACTTTGTGTCCTTAGGCAGCGCACTGTGTAGCGATTTCTTCTCGTGAAAGGGATTTGCGCGCTCTCCAAAATTAGAGATTTGATGTGATTCATAACATATAATGCGCAATAATGAGTATTTTTGGTTTTTGACCAATGCCCCCCTTTGATATGAACGCCCCTCACAATATCATTGTCCTTACGATGCATTTGGCTTCCTTTTTTACCTAGTGATATGGAACACAAGTTCATTTCACCTTGCGGAGCTTGCCGACAAGTTTTGCATGAAGTAAGTTTTTTTTTATTATTCTTTGGTTTTTCTCGAGAAAACCTACAAACCTGCAATTTTTAAGCAAAGCGTGGCACCATGCACAATTCATATTTCTGATGTTGAAATCTTCGTTCCTTCCTCGGCTTGATTTACGACAAAATGCTACACTCAGTACACTGTAAAAATAATGTACAAAATACTGTTGGGCAATATAATTTTACCCAACATTGCTTTTAATTTACCTCATTTGGGTGAACATTTTCCAACTATTGGGAAGACTTTGCCCAAGTATTGATTATGTTGACCAACGTTGGTCTACATATCAACCCATTTTGCCCAACGTGTTTACAGTGTATGGTTTCACCGCACCTTACTGCGACAAATCAGGTACCAGACCTAGGATGCATGCATCCATACTTAGACTTCTTTCGTGAAATGTATCACGCTGTACGATCCCCGGGTGTACCTGACTATTGGTCTTTGCCTTGACTTCTTTTGTTGCAGTTGGGTGGGAAAGACTTGGAGGTGTACCTGACTAAACCCGACCTGTCCTGGAAGCGTACGACCATGGAGGAACTCATGCCACTTCCCTTCGACGAGTTTAAGGTTGCATCGAAATAAGACGCTACGTTCTTATGAAAACCAAATGGTTGTCCTATGTAACCTCTCTACCTCTCTAGAGAAGTAACCAACCATCAGCGTGTACTCGCTGTTTCCTTAACTGTCTTCTTTAATCTCGTTCTAATAGGATGCGTCTTTGTTCTGTGAGTGTTATAAACTTGTTAAGACTGTAATGTAGTTCGGCCCAGCGTAGTGTAGCGTAGTGCGTAGAGGGTTCACACAAAAGAATAACAATTTTAGGCCAAAAAGAAGTCTCCGGTTTCTGGTATGGAGCTTGCCCAAAAAGTGGTGCGGCGACGCGGCTTTTTTTTTTTTTTACCTAATTTTTTTGCTTCAAATGTCGGCTGATGACTGCAAATGGTGCCCCACTAAACTTAGTGCAAATATATGGGAGATCAGAGAGGCCACATAAAGCTCATTCTCGACCATAACCCACTCTAAAAACACGTTAAAATTGTGCAGCAGCAGGATTCCAGTCAAACCAGTGAGTTTGGCGGTTTTGAGACATCATCTTTCATTGAAAAAAAAACGTTTTCATTTTGCCGACGCGCATGGCTACGGCGACGCGCGCGCATACCAGAAACCGGAGATTTTTTTTTGGCCTTACAGGCATACCACCATTTGCATGTATCCCGAAAGCAACCCAATAAATTAAAAAGCGTACTTGGATTAAAGATCGTACTGATACTAGAAACCTCAGTCCTGATAGTATTCTCTCTAGTCTGTACTACAAACCTCGTGAAATCGTTCTGTCTGGCATCTCGCTTTCTTGGGTGGATTTCAGCAATCAGTGGATTGACTCATTTTTGCAAGTACAATGTGCTATGGGGGAACTCGTGTTTCTTGATCAAAAGATTGCGCATGTTTTTTCCGCTGTTTTCTCGAAAACTAATACCCACTGAGCTGAAAACTCAACAGGTATTTCCAACATTTTACGTTGGATTTCGAGTGGTGTTATTATTGGAAACGAACAAATTCGTGAAAAGCAAATGAGCCCATATGCTGTTAAGTCACAAGCTTAATAATTACAAAGACACACAAAATGCGCATTTAGTTAGATACTCCATTGTGGTTCTAAACAAATTTAAGTATCTATTTATGACGATAAAACAAGTCAACTCAATGTTATATGACAGTGGTGAGTATACTTTTCTGAGCAAAAGAAGAAAGCATAGAAACTAATAGTGATCAAGTAATGCTTAATTTGGTTAAGATCTGTGCTCTAAATAACCAAATAACTCCGATGGTAAGTCATTATGGTACATTGAAAAGTGATTGACATCATGATCAAACATCATACAAAGTAAGCCTACCGGTTGATATGAAACTTTCATTTTTTTTAAAACTCGTACCATTGTTTGTAAATGCAAAACTAGAATAATAACTTGTCATCTGGATAAACGAGGGCATTTTGCGTGTTGAAATCCACATTGACATTTGTTAAAGGACTATGAAAAATAATCCCTTGCATTTTTTTTAATTTTGGCAAAAAAATCAAATTGTGTGCTATTCCAAAGCAAAATGCGTCAACAAATTGGAGCTAAAATCAGTCGAAAATGTGATTTTTTTTCTACAAAAATACAAATAATATTTTGGGTGTTTGAATATTCATTGATGTTCCTCTTGCATCTGATGGTATTTCTGAGCTGTTTGGAGAAAAGTAAATTTTTTGCCAAATTTGATGAAAAATGTCAGGTTAATCCCTTGCACTTTTTTCCATTTTGGCTAAAAATTTAATTGCTTAAAACTTGCTGGAAAGATACCTAAAGGACCCTAGAACAAATTCCAACTCGACTTCTGAAAAGGTGTGCTATTCAAAAAAAAATGCGCAAAAAACTTTCGGCTACCCAGTCGAAAATGTGATTTTTTGTTCTACAAAAATCGATGAATTTGGCGAAAATCTTACATATTTTGGGTGTTTGAATAGTCATGATGTTCCTCTTGCATCCGGCGGTATTTCTGAGCTGTTTGGAGAAAAGGCAATTTTTTGGCCAAATTTGATGAAAAAATGTAAGGTTAACCCCTTTCTTTTTTTTACCATTTTGGCCAAAAAATACAATTGCTTGAAACTTGCTGGGAAGATGCCTAAAGAAACCTAGAACACATTCCAACTGGGCTTCTGAACAGGTGTGCTATTCCAAAGAAAAATGCGCAAAAAAAAACGTGTGGCTAAAATCAGTCAAAATGTGGGTTTTTTTCTACAAAAATTGATGATTTTGTCGCAAATCTTCCATATTTTAAGTGTTTGAGTAGTCATTGATGTTCCTGTTGCATCGTGCGGTATTTCTGAGCTGTTTGGAGAAACGTCAATTTTTGGCTAAATTTGATGGAAAATGCAAGGTTAACCCCTAGCATTTTTTTCCATTTTGGCCAAAAAATGAAATTGCTTGAAACTTGCTTGGAAGATGCCTAAATGACCCTAGAACAATTCCGACTAGACTTCTGAACAGGTGTGCTGTTCCAAAGAAAATGTGCAAAAACTTTGGGCTAAAATAAGTCGAAAATGTGGGGGTTTTTTCCCTCTACAAAAATTGATGATTTTGGTGCAAATCTTCCATATTTTGGGCGTTTGAATAGTCATTGATGTTCCTCTTGCATCCGGCGGTATTTCTGAGCTGTTTGGGGAAAAGTCAATTTTGGCCAAATTTGATGAAAAATGTTAGGTTAAACCCTTGCTTTTTTTTTCAATTTCGGCCAACATATCCAATTGCTTGAAACTTGCTGGGAAGATGCCCAAAGGACCCTAGAAAAAATTCAAATCGACTTCTGAAAAGGGGCGGATCCAGACTGTCATTTGCCGGGAGGGGGGGGGGGGCTAGATATGTAATGAAGGGTCCAGGACCCGCGAGCTCGGAGCGCGAAGCCCTTTCGGCGTGGGGTCCGGGGCCCGCTTAAAAATGTGAATTTTTTTTCTACAGAAATTGATGAATTTGCCGCAAATCTTTAATATTTCGGGTGTTTGGATAGTAATTGATGTTTCTCTTTCATCCGGCGGTATTGCTGAGCTGTTTGGAGAAAAGTATATTTTTGGCCAAATTTGATGAAAAATGTAAGATTAACCCCTTGCATTTTTTTCAATTTCGGCCAAAAGATCAATTGGCTTTAAATTTGCTGGGAAGATGCCTAAAGGGCCACAGAACAAAGTTAAACGGGACCTCTGAACAGGTGTGCTATCCAAAGAAAAATTGGGCAAAAATTGTGGCTAAAATCAGTCAAAACTGTGGTTTTTTTTCTATATAAATTTATGAATTTGGCCCCAATCTTCGATATTTTGGGTGTTTAAAAAGTGATCGATGCTCCTCTTGCATCCGGTGGTATTGCTGGGCTGTTTGGAGAAAAGTAAATTTTTGGCCAAATTTGATAAAAAAAATGTAAGCTTTTTTTTCCATTTTTTTGCCAAAAATTGAAATTGCTTGAAACTTGCTTGGAAAATGCATAAAGGACCCTAGAACACATTCCGACTAGACTTTTGAACAGGTGTACTATTCCAAAGAAAAATACGCAAAAAAGTTTGGCTAAAAATCTGTGAAAAAAATGTGATTTTTTTAACTTTAAAAAATTAATGAACTGAATTTTGATGGCCCCAATATTCGATATTTTGGGAGCAAAACAGTAATTGATGTTCTTCTTGCATTCGGTAGTATTTCTCAGCAGTTTAGAGAAAAGTTAATATTTGGCCATTTTTTATGAAAAATCTAAGGTTAACCCCCTTTCGTATTTTTCCCAATTTTGGCCAAAAATTCATATTGCTTGAAACTTGCATGGGAAGATGCCTAGAGAACCACAGAACACAGTCCACCTGGACTTCTGAACAGGTGTACTATTCCAAAGAAAATTTCGCAACAAATTAGCGCTAAAATCAGACACAAATGTGATTTTTTTTTCTATAAAAATTGATAATTTGGCCCCAATCTTCGATATTTTGCGTGTTTAAATAGTGATTGATCCTCCTATTGCATCTGGTGGTATT